GTGAAATTCTCATTTTGCATATTATTATTATTATTACTTTTCTAAAAAGAAGATGAAGTGAAAACAAATGTCCTTATTGTCAATTCATAGATGGTCTTGCTCCAGCTATGAATAAACACTATAACCATTCACCAATTAATTTCAAATGATCGTAGTGGTAATTTTAATTAGAAAATTTGAATTGTTTAGTTTTTGCTGTAAAAGCGTTCCTGTCACCTTCATGTAGTATTTCCCAGTTGAGAAATATCTTAAATGCCGTTGGTTTATTACGCCCTTTAGTATGCTGTTTGGCAAGTCTCCGCGAGGACGGCTTTGTGCGGTATATATACGTTTGGATTTATGATTATTGTTATCGCTCGTTTCTGGCTGTTTGCAGAATGTACTTACCCATTCCAAACTTGGACTTCTTCCTCTAGTTAGCGGGGCTGGAGCGCATCACAATGTCTAGCTTATTGGTCTTTGGTCACAGAGTCTTTCTCCTCCTTCGCAGATTAAGTGAACTCGTAATAGCTTGAGACCTAGCAACAGAAAACTGCAGTTAACACGAAACTGCTTTGACTAGACAATTCACATAAGTTTTTATTCAAGTCATTCCTGTAGCTCGTCTAAGGTTATTGCCGGTCACATATCCAAGTAAATGAGGACGGTCTAATATGAAGTCAGCATTTCCATAGTTCAGAAAGCAACGTCGCTATAAATATGTCAAACACAAGAAACAAATTATAGCATACGAACTCTGACCTGGAATTTGAAGGATGTTCTTGCACCACAACTGTGATGGTGCATGGCGAGGTCGAGATTATTCCGAAGTCACAAGACAAACTTCCTTGTAATAACCAGAACAACAATTAATGTAGATACATGGGATGTCCGGACAAGGTGTGAGACCAGGAGGACCATTCAATCATTATGTAAATGAGGAAGTGCAACTTGACAGTGCTCGGCATCAGCAAAACCCATTGGACACAAATTAGACAAATGGTTTGGATTCGGTGTAGATGCTAATGTACTGTGTTTACGATGAAGACGGTACTCCACGGATATCTCGCCTTCATCATAGGTGACGCAAGTTGGCAAAAGCCAAACGAGGTTTCTGAGTCCGTGCTAAGATTTAGTCAGACACCAACCCAATAGGGCTGATCAGACTTCCAAGATCGGTGAAATTGTCAACACGTTCGACTACATCATTCCCTATCCTCAGTTCAGGTGTTGATTCAGGCCAGTCCTGAAACAACAACTTGCATTTGGAGAGGGCGAAACTCATTTCAGACATTCTAACATTGTCGCTCAGTGCCACCGAAAGACGTTGCATTTCATCAGTGTTTTCACCAAACAGGACTATATCATCTGCGTATACTGAGTTGTTAAGTGGACCACTTGGAAGGAGATCAGTGCTCGAGAACTCAGTCGACGAGAACGTTATTTCCACCAGTAGGTCTATAATGAAGTTAAACAAAAATAGAGACAGTGGACAACCTTGAAAGACACCAATTGATGTTGCAAAATCAGACGACAGTTCGCCATAAGCTCTGACTCCACTAGTAGTTTTCGGGTAAAGAGCCTTCACAAGGTTTATGTACTTCTGATGTGAGCCTTTCAATGACAGACACTGTCACAACACCATTCGGTCCACGGAGTCAAATGCCGATTTTAAGTCACGAAAAACTATCATCAGTACTCATTCACATATATACCACTCTAATCCTTAGGAAATTGATCCATTTCACAGACAATGAAATGAAAATGTCTTTCAGATCAGTTGTGATTGTCATCGGTTGACCTTTGCGTTAGAACACTTCTGATTAGCTCTCTATATCAACATATCTCTTATTCATCAGAGTTATCTAATCATGAAAAAATGTAATTATGTAATTATAGGATTACGCATAAGTGATCTGTTTGTAAGTGAATAATTTCCATAAAAAACTTTGAGAAGTATTACACAACTTTCCTAATTGATTCGATATTCACTTAATATGATGTGTTTGGATCTGTCATTTATTTATGTCAAATGGTATGGGCCATTCAGTGGGAGGCCGTGATTATCCAACTACTTATAATATGTAGAACTTGACAGTATGACATATCTGTAATCTTGAGAGGATTGACTTTCTCTGAGTACGTTGGACCCATATTACTCAATTTCAATCAAAGAATCTGATATTGAACTGCTAGGATTGAAACTGATCTCCAGTAATATTCAGATATTATTGTTACTGATATTCGATCATAGGTGACTTCGAATCATTGATCGTATATCCTGGGACCACTGAGTAATTAATCCAGTTGTTAGGAAACGCGTATTAGGTAAGGATGGCAAATCAATTGTAGCATAGTATCCATAGCTTAATGGGAGATTGAAGGGGCGGTCTTTACTCCAAAAGGAAGTCCGTTATATCGAAACAAACCCTTTTGAGTATTTATTGTCAAGTAATGCTCACACTCATCCGCTACCGGAATCTGTAGATAAGCGTCTGATAGGTCTGATTTCGCAAAATACTAACACCCATTCAGTTTCGCAAATAAATCCTCTGCTACCGGCAATGGGTATTGATGGGCTTCCAGTGCTTCATTTAATCAGGCTGAATAATCTGCGCATAGCCGAATACTTTCATTTGGCTTTTTGACCATCACTATTGGTGCTGCCGAATCAGAAAAGTTTACTGGCTCGATTATTCCACTTCTTTGCAGACGCACTAATTCTTGTTCAGCAATAGGTAGCGTTGCATAGGGCACCGGACGTTTCGGTCTGAAGACGGGGGTGACTCTCGGTTTAAGAATCAATAGTGCTTTTACCGTTTTGTATTCCCCAACTCTTCCGTAAACACTTGACTATGTCTTTTCAATACAACACTCTTCAGATCCTTTTCCACCGGTTTATTGGTTCTCAGTGCACTGCATATGTGGTTAATGGGGTGATTCGCAAATTGTAGTGTTTTTATTAAGTCCAGACCTAGCAAACCTAGTCCTCGGTTCTCTGTGAGGTATAAAGTTGCACTCGTCTTCGCGTTTCCTTTCGAAACTGTACAGTAAACCCCTCCAACAATATTTAATTTCCCTCCAGATGCACTATGAGTTAACTGGGTTGTTGGGAGCACCTGCGGTTTTCCAATAAGCTTCCAGGTTCTTGGATTAATAAGTGTGATGTCGGAAGCAATGTCGAGCTGTAGGCAGGCACGTTTTTTTATTTATATCCAAGTTTACATACTGTTCATGTTCAACAGTTCCAAGTTTTCGCAAGAGTATTCTGACCTTAGCAGCGTTATCAAGTTTTTGAGGTCGCTCTTGAACAAATCTTCATATTCCTTGGACCAGGTTTCAAAAGTACTACCAGTCGAACCATCAAAATTGAATTCATGTACAGAATACATTATCTGGTTAACATGAGATTTGAAAGGGTCATCTTTAACTTCCTTTTGATTCAGGTTCATTTTCTGAGTTAGTGTCTCCATCACGCGCATCCGGAACTGTTGAAAACGTTTTTCTTGGCGTTCCAGTAAGGCTTCAAGTTGTTCAAAAGTAAGTGACATATTGGTACGATAACCCCGCCGCCAGATGTTATATCTTGAAGGCTGATTTCTTGATGTACCGCGTATAACAGAGCACTAGAACACCCAAAACCCTCCCAAGTCGCAATAATAAGACAGAAGACTAATGAAGGAATATTATTCCAAACAATGTCAATCATAGTATAAAATTGTCAGGTATTTATCGTTTGTAGTGAGAACGAAATCATCATTACAGTCCTCCAATCCGCATACACGGGGTTATTAGCACTGTAGCGTGGTGTCGAGTTGAGGTTAACTATGAACACCGTTACCAAGAAACACGTGCCAAATAAATCAGAAGGCGAAAGTCGAACGTAACCAAATAAATCCATAAAATCTCCGAGAAACCAAATATCAGAAGGCAATTAATGGACCACATCGAGATATATATTTGCTGGCGATCTCGTGGCATCGAAAGGATACCGAGATCGTGCCAGGATACAAGCTTGGTTACAGAACGTAACCGAATTCGCGCGAAGTTACAATCAAAGTGTAAGTATAAGAATGGAAGCACAAAATAGCTGTCATTAGCACAGTCAAACAAAAGCACATTAAAAAAGTACTGGTTCAGTTGGTTATAATAATAATTGTTTTTATTAAACCAGTCGTGTTCTCGTAATAAATGTGAGTCGCTACAGCATTATCCAGTCGGGTAGCTACACGTAGGAATTCAATAATATACTTCCGAAATGTGATTGGATGGAACATCTTCGGCTTCTTCTGAGCCTCTTGCAACTTCCTCAAGTTCACCGGCGGTCCGTCGTCACATCTTTGAATAACATTTTCAAACCCTAATGTTTCCGATTGCTGCTTAAACTTTTACTACCTCTACCACTATGGAATTTGAATGGACAATTGTATTTGTGTGCTGATGTGGTATGTCAACTAATGTACGTACGAAATTCTACTTTGTTACTGACTGACTGACTGACTTACTGAACAGTAACTATAGTGAAGTTTGTTTAATCACATTCCGACTTTATTCGTTTGGGTTAAGAAGCTCTTGGTTCACGTAGAATCTACCACATTATCCAATAATATCGATTTAGTCTACACTCATAAATATCTAAATAAATCAATTAATCTTTCCAGAAACATTCTACAATTAACATTAAAGAGCAACGTTAAGATGAACACTGATACGATGGATGTCATACATACCAATGCTAATTATAATGAGATGAATGATATTTTAAGAAAACACTTATTTTAAAAGAAATAAAGACAAACTTGATCTTCATGTCATAGAAGTTAATTCACACAATTGTTTCTAACTACTTTTATCGATATAAGTAGTTAAATATGATTAAAATTTGACAGTAACCAATTTCTCACAGCATATTCATGTGATTTTTTCACAGAAAATGTAACATAATTAGGCAGATTTCAACATGAATCATCAATCTTTTCTCCAGTATTCTTTTCAGTAGTCTGTAAAAGATCCACTTCAGTTTAAGTATTTAAGAAGATTCTTTCATCAATCATATTATCATCATCATCATCATTATTGGGTGTCGGTTTGAGTTGATTTTTAACTTGTATTAGTAATGACTTAAGATGATCTAACTTCTTTCGAACTTCATCTATTTCATTTTCATCAAGACTAGATATTGAATGTGGAGATTTTTCTTTTGGAATATAAGAACATCGTGAAGACAATTGACTCATCCTATTCCTTATGCAAGTTGAAAAACAGAAAACAAATATGGTTGATAATCATCAAGAGAAAAGTAAACACATATGAAGTTGCAACTGTCATTCAAAACTATTAAACCAAGGAATTACAACTTCATAGATTAGAAAAAGATCAATCGTTGGATGAATATCGCCAATGATAACATCTCAGATTATAAGGATATTTGATGTCTATTTTAAACGGGCAGAGAATATCAATCTTATCAGAGTTGAACATATGCCTTAGGTAATGAACGCCAACTAGTACAATGAGAGATGAGGTAGGATTTCGTGTAGATCGCCTATAGAGATGTAAATAATGTCAAGAATTAGATAACTTGTGATAAACGCTTTCCAATGGTTTATGATAGAATTGAAAATGTAAACCATTATATTTTAACTCATAGTGATGATGAGTCTAGAATTTAGAATAGACATCTGTTAAGTCTATCGAAGCGTCCAAGTCACCCAATTGAGATACGCGCAAAATCGAAGTTTCCAATACAACGATTTGTCTACAATAGCGGTTCTTTATTAAATAATACACAACATTTAGTTACAAACCTCAACTTGTGAGGTGTCTAGACGTTTAAACGCGTCGTTCAAGAATGAAAATAACAAAGGCTTCCTGTAAGTGTAACATGAAGAATGATTATAACATACGATAGTACAAAGGACAGCTGATAGCTGTGACAAAATTTGATAAATGTTTATCAACAACCAAAAACCCGAACGAAGAGCAAACAATATGGAAACTGTTGCGTTTAAACACATGCACTAAACTGTGGATAACCGCTGCAGTGATTAAGGTACAGTAATTATAATGATAAGTACAATAAACGTTATAAGTATGTGTGAACATTTCAGAATATCACAGTACAATTTGCGTTACAATATGAGTGTGAAAATTGTCCGGAATACAACTGCTTAATGAATGTAAATAAGTAGTATAATACAGTATACAAAAGAGTAGAAGGGGAACAAGTAGGAACAATGTGAAACAAACTTAACAACATCTTTCGTGTCTTCAATAATCTTTCGAATGATTTCAATCATATCTTCATAAAAAATTATGCAATCTCCTCTATCCATTTATATATATCGAGCACTATCAGTATGGGGTTGTGGAGATTATTAAGCTTTTGATTGAGATCATGAAGTGATTGATGTTAGTGTTATAACTTGTGACCGCCGATTAAAGAGCAGTGACTTATCGATCGGATCAGTGACGCGCAAACCCTTGTGAGCAGCCTAGGGTTCTGATTGGTCCTGCTTCCCGCCTAGCCAAGCCAGTGAAGTCCAGAACGTCAATCTCAGCCTCTACTATATGAATCCTTATATTTCAAACATACTGAGTTTATATAACAATCAAACAGACCATAACGTGGCATAAAATAGAAAATAACATTTATACAAAATTTGGCCAAATGTGGCTGTGAATGTGGGAGGGAGTGACTAATAGACAGGGCATAACTAAAGAATGGTAAAACAGCTGTCCAGTGCTTCCAGGATTTCAATGGTCGTCTAACATCATTTAGTTCATGATCTCAATCAAAATATATTGATACGTTCTGTACACAAACAGTCAATTCAAACGATTGATTTAACCTGAAATGAATAAAGAGACTGCTTGTTTTTTGACTAACATTTCTAATGAAATACCATTCTACGTGGAGTTCACTTTTCCATAGACTGGTCACTACACAATCCTTCTATTCTAGACATCTACTTCTCGACTTATACGATTTATTACACTAACAGAAGAATAGGAGGATGAATGATAAAGATTTATTTGTGTTGTGACTTTATGTTCCGCTTGTTATCAGGTAATCGCCAATCAAAATATGACTTATTCGCCAGTGTACTGTACTAAACTAATGACATCCGAACAGTCTGATCAGCCTATCGTCCTATTGATCATTTGCTTGCTTATTTCGTCCACTTGAGTCCGGAACCTCAATATCATCTTCCGTTATGCGAATCGAATGGAATCATTTGTTTCAGATATACTGGGTTTATATATCAATCAAACAAACCGCAACGCACCATAAAATAGGAAATAACATTGATTCACAATAAAGCCAAAAAGTGACTGTGAACGTGGGAGGCAGTAGTCAATAAACTGGACGTAGCTTAAGAACGGTAAATCGTACAATAACAAAATATATAGGTCAAAATAAAGCTTATAACAAAGGGAATATAGATATACATAAATTAGGTACTGAATATGTATAACATTAGAATATATAAATAATATTAGTCGATTAATAGGTCTTAGCCGTTACTCCTAATGTAATCTTTGCTAGGATAAAACAATTTCCATGTATACAAAATAGACCAAAAAGAACATCTTGCCTAATTGTTATTCCTATATTATTATTTAAACACATTGATACAAGGAAGCATCGAATAGATATACTTCAAACTTCATCATTCGATTTGTATGAGGGCTGTGATACTAATTGGGTACCCAAATCAAAGCAGGCAGTTTTAGGTGGCCACACCCCGAGCCTTTGACCTAAAGGTTTGATCCACACGTCAGTGAAGCAACGTCCGGAGATGCAGTCCCATGGTAGCTGGTGATCAACAATAGGTCCATATGTCATTTGTTTCCTCGAGATCCTGTAACTCATGTGCACCAGTGGCTTGAAATGAAGGTTTTCCATCTTCTCTAGATGGATCTTTCGTGTCCATCAGACAGGTTAAAGCGTTGGGCATTCACTTTTCGTCCTCTCAATTTCATAAACAACATCCCTCATGCGAGATGGTAGCGACTAGGTTTTCCCTGACAGTGGTTGTATTCACATGGCCATGTGAAGGTATTTCGAGAAGGAAAGCTTAATCCCTTCACTCTCAACCATACCAGGGCATTTGAGGTTCTGATTTTCATGGGTTTTGTTTATAACGATCCATAATTATACTTTGAAGAAACTGAAATTCATAGTATTCAGCAGTGATGATTCAATAATCCAAGAGATGGAAATGTTATCATCAACATACATAAATGATCCATGTGTTTGGTTAGATTAGAGAATTTTTAATTATTTGTGGAATGTACTATTGTGACCCCATATCTGACTTCAATTGGATCAAATGAATGATTATCATTGAAATATACGATGTCGAAATCTATATGTCGCCAATCCTCATGTGTAATAATAATCGACTTAATTCGGGTTAGTGAATAAAGGAATAAAAATAAGTCAAATACGTGAATGAATTTCGAATACTATATTTCATACAATCATTGATCTAGACAAACAACCAGAGGGATGATGAGAATAGAAGAGAGCGAAGTGAAATTATGAGCAGTGGTGGAGAAGGCACATAAGCCAACGCCATTTAATCGATAAGCTACACACATGTGATGAGTAGGATAGGATGTACACACACACACATATACACTCATATAAAATTAGTCAAGATTAATAAGTGAATAATTAACAAGATCACGATGTGACTCAAGAAGAACCGTTAAATTGGCCTGTCCATCCTGAAGCTAGAATAACTTATGTGGGATTAACATAGTAACTTACACTACAGTACTCAATCTGTAAATTCAATAGTAACCACCGTTCGTTCCTTTAATGACCAGAGAAAGGAAAGAGGGAAATTCATTCAATCTATCTTGATAATACTTTAGTTTCTAGTAATTTTCTAGTTATAAATCCACAGTTGACAAAAAATTTTGATCAAGAAGTTAGAGTTATATACGTGAACTTATTCATTCCACCTGATTCACCATGATCAAGTCATTTTATTTCAATTCGAGTGTTTAGTTTGTTTTACATTGTTCTTACTCACTTTTCTTCCAGTCTTTTGTATATATTGTTCTATACTACTTATTTATATCTAGTAAGCAGTTGTATTCCCAGCAATGTTTCACTTCTGTTGTGATGCAAGTTGTTGTGTAGCATTCTGAAATATTCACTTATACTTAAACGTATATTGTACTTAACATTGTATTTATCATTTTAATTACTATACCTTAAACACTGCAGCGGTTATCCACAGTTTTGTGCATTTGTTTAAACGCATCAGTTTCCATATTGTTTTACTCTTAATTCGGGTTTTGGTTACTGATAAACTGTTATCAAATTTAGACACAACTATCAGGTTGTCTCTGTCCTATCGTACGTTGTAACTATTCTTCATGTTACCGTTACAAGAAGCCATTTTATTTTATACAAAGGGACATGTTTAAACGCCTCAGACACCTCACAAGTTGAGGTTTCTAACTAATTTAGTGTATTATCCAATAACGAACGGCCATTGTGGATACATCGTTGTTTTGCGAACTTCGGATGACGTGGAAACCTTGACAGATTTGACATAGAATAATCTGTTAAGTAAATAAGCACATACTGTAGTGATACATTTAAAAAGTATAACTCATTCTGGATTTACGGCGACCCGTATTCAATGTTAACATATCAATTGCAGAATTGTAATTGGTTTGATATAAAATGTTCTTAGCTAATTGTTCAGTATCATTATCATCATTATCCATAGCATTGTTACAATCATGAATGTGTCGAATATGTCGAAGTTGTATTGATTTATTCAACGCTGTTGGATTTGAAAATTCATCCCTTCGATATGTTTGCTGATTTATAATCCTGAATAGATATAACGAATTAAGATTAGAGATAATCAATAGAAAGCTCTGATCATACAATATGTATTGGTTCAAGTTGATGGAATCAAAGAAGAGATCAATATGATCTTAATGGTAAACATAAGCAGTGTAGACTTCAAACTCTGCCTGCAGTCCTTCCGTGTGCTACTGCCGGCCCCAAGCCCGTTTAAAGAAGGTGGGTTGGGCATGGGGTTAGCGACCCCATCCCGTAGAATACTAACTGTAACACAATTTCTGTCTTTCCACTCATCTCTAGGTATATACAAAATCAATTACATGGTTTGAAATCAGGAAATCCATACCTATTGATATAGCCGAAGATCATTATTCAGCAACTACATAGATAGACATAGTGTTTTGACATTTTTTCTTCTACCTAATTTCTGACCTACTCAAATTTGAGCAAATCCATGAATATATGACATCAATACTAATTATTTCAATAAACGAAAGTTTATGATGTCATCATATAACTTGCTTTTTATACCAAACATCGTGTGCTTAACCTCAGAATTTCCACAGATTAAAACCATGAGCCAACTTAAATTAGACCACCATGGAAAACCTGGAAGCACTGGATGGCCGTTTCGTCCTTGTATGGAACTCCTCAAAAGCGCGCATTCACGGCCCCGTACCCTGTGAGGTTCGAACCCAGGGTCTACCAGTCTCGCGCGCGTGCGCTTAACCGACTAGTCCACTGGGCTGCCACGCATCCAACGGTGTTAATTTCTAACTTCAACCGATACACGAAGTTGCGCCACCGTTTACCATTATCTTCAGTGAGTTGATACCTCACAACAGACCTGACTGAACTTCTCCGGCACGGGATCTTGGATGCGCACTGCCGAGGAGTCCCACAACATGACGAAACGGCCGTCCAGTGCTTCCAGGTTTTCCATGGTGGTCTAGCTTCAATTGACTCATTATTTCAATCTGTGAAGTTTATAAAATCTCCACAAACCGCTTCTGATAACCTCAGAATTACCTATTGAACGGTTTTATGATTTGAAGACTATTTAACCTTCAATATGAAATACAATTCCTTAGTTACTCATCTGATGAGTAAATTGGAAACTGAGATCAACACATAGCATCTAAATAACTCATTTCAATCTACTAGGATATAATTAAACAAATGTATCATATATTAAAATTGATAATGTAGGGAATAAGTATACAACTTAGTAGAAATATTAAAACCATACAGTGAATAATTCATTTACAAAATATCAATCAGTTGTCATACAGTTGATTGTTCAGAGATGGTAGAGAAGATTTGTAGCTCAGATAAAGTTTCTACTGATGATATTGTTCCAAAGAATGATAAAAGCTTCACGACCAAATAAGATATAGTATAGAACAATTGACATAAGTGAATGTAAAGAATTGGAATGACGATGGTTATCAATGATAACTATATATATGCAAGAACAGGTCAGAGGTTATTTGGTGTTAGAATCGAGGAAACAATTAAGGATGGGTGGTGTAATAGTCGATTGGAGTTCAGAGACAGATAAGAGAAATTGTGTGATAAATTTTAGAGGTAATAAAGGGTTTACATAAGATTCATGGAAATAAAAACTGAAGTCAGACAAAAATGGAAAACCTGGAAGTACTGGATAGCCGTTTCGTTCTAATATGGGATTCCTCAGCAGAGTGCATCCATGATCCCTCCTCGAGAGATTCCGACCCAGGACCTATCAGTCTCGCGCGCGAACCATTAACCTCTAGATTACTGAACCAGCCGACATAAAAAGGTGTTTATGTCTAACTTCAACCAATCCACGAAATTCAGCGGTACATCTACCATCGTCATCAGTGAGTTACTATCTCACAACAGACCTGGTCGAACTTCACTGGTAACGGCTTCTCACTAGAACTCTAAGGAATACCTCTTGAAACCAGTCATTAGTGAGCATATGCTGATTCATATCAGAAAGGTGTTTTTGTAGATATTACAGTCATTTCAATGGTTGTAATCATGTGATCATTTTAGTAGGTAATAAAAGATGCATGGTACTAAAATCTGATAAATTGGATCACGTAATGATTGAATAGAATTTGAACAGTTCACATAATTTAAGAGAAACAATTGAGTGGAAATGGGTGAATTAAAGGTTGGTTCAAGAATTCGCTAATGGAAGAGGAATATAACACAAACTAAACATTAACAAAATAAAACTAATAACCAAAGACCCAACAAAACAAAACAATAAACACACACACACACAAAAAGGATTACCAGGGTAGTAATAAGTTTATTATAATAAGTTTATTATTATAAATAGAGAAAAGGTTTTGTGGTGATTTTAGAAATTTCACTGGTTGAAATCATGAATCAATTGAAGTTAGACCACCATGGAAAACCTGGTAGCACTGGACGGTTGTTCCGTCCTAGTCTGTGAGTGCTCACAAACGCGCATCCACAATCTCACCCCTCGCGATATTCGAACAGAGGACCTATCGATCTCGTGCGCGACAGCAACTTCGTGCATTGGTTGAAGTTATACATTAACACCGTTGGATCCCAACCGGCTCAGTGGTCTAATGGTTAAGGGCACACGCGCAAGACTAACAAGACTTCAATCCAAATCATGCGAGAGGCGAGATTGTGGATGCACACTGCTGAGGAGTCCCAGACGAGGATGACACAACCGTCCAGTGCTACCAGGTTTTCCATGGCGGTCTAACTTCAATTGACTCATGATTTCAACCAGTGAAATCAATCAAGAGTTTGTTTTGTGTTTTTTAATGTTATTACTTACGATTTAGGAATAATTAAATTATTCACTTGAATATGACCATTTTCTTTAATTAATTGAACAAGTAATTGATCATAATGAAATTTCATTGGATATAAATGATTCTTTCTTTGATTGATAGTCAATAACAAATGGTTACGTTTTGATTGTTCAATTTGTAAAGATTTCATAGTCAATTGTGTTTCATTTGGACGTAAAATACTGTTTATATGAAACGTGAATAGTAGTGTGTGTATATAGATTAATTCATTGAGAAAATTCTTGATTCAAGTTTTATAATCATTAATGATAATTATTAAACGAATAAATATCATCAGTTTAGTGGTTGTTGAGATTGTTAAGTTTTGATCCCGCGAGAGGGATCGTATATTCGCACTGCTGAGGAGACTCACAATAGGACGAAACGGCCATCCAGTGCTACGAGGTTTTCAATGGTAACCTAACATTATTCGGTTCATGATCTCAATCAATAACAAATATCAATTAGGGTAGGTAGATTATAATAGAAATCTTAATGTTATCATGTTTAAATCAAATAACATTGTGTTATATCTCCATAAGAATAATGAATGGTAATCATTTGTGATCCATTTATGCATCAATACTAAACGCATATTGTTATTGTATAATTGTTATCTAACTAAACTATTCATATTCGTGTTCCTCCTAATATGAGCTTCATTTTGATCTATGAATGATTATTATACGATTTACCATCCTTGAATTATGGACTGTCTATCAATCACTGCTTCCCCCATTCACAGCCACAAATGATGTTTCCTATTTTATGGTACGATGAGATCTGTTTCATTGGTATATAAACTCAGTATGTTTGAAATATAAGGATTCATATTGCAGAGGCTGAGATTGATGTTATGGACTTAAATGGCTGGGTCAGACAGGAGGCAGGATCGATCAGGTCTCTAGACTCTTCGTATGTGTTTTTAAGCGTCACTGGTCCGATCGATAATTCACTGTTCTCTAATTGGTGATATCATTTCATTATACATGAACAGGGCACACAGGACACAAGTGATAATACATTGAAATCATTTATAATTTACTGCTGTTTTATCCAAGGCTATACAGTCAGATAGGTGATGAATAGTACTTATTTATACCATGTTACCTCTCATGGGGAAGCATAAATCACTTATCAACATTCTTCATTGAACTCTATCCTGAACAATCCTTTCCAGTTGTTTTCAGTTGCTATTCATCTTTTTTTTCACGTCTGTTTTCAATTCTTGATATAATGTATGTACTTTGGTCTTCCTGTTTCCCGTTTTCCAGATAATAATTAATAATGCTTATTGAATGTCACAAAAATCTTCATTGACTTTAATGAACAATTCAGTTCATTAGTTTTCTTTATTCGTTTACTTTGTATCTGAACGTAGACTGGTGAGACTCTAATTTATGGACGAGTCAATCAGAGGCGTTTAAGAGATTTCAAGGTTACGGCGCCGATTTCACTGGTGAATGCTAACGTATGATCGGTTTACAGGGAATTTTGTACAAAACGTGATCATTGAACGGCTATAACAAATAAAACGGCGAGACTATAATTTGTGGACGAATCAATCAGGTATAGGATAATAGATCTCGGATTTGAACGTGAACACCTTTCATCCATTTGGCTAAATACGGTTTTGGGATTATAGCTGATGTCAATTCGCGATGAAAACCCCATATATAATTCCTAAGTAAGGCAAATTACGACAATTATTGCGAACTGGATAGTAAAACACCCGTAACACTGGCTGCAGCCAAGTACTACAATATACACGGATGATCGGAGAGCGTACAGACTCGTACATAGGCTTGGTTATGTGCATCGTGTCGTTATCCACAAGTGACATTTTTGTGTACTGAATAACCGAAGTGCACACAAACAATATTGCAGCTATGTAGTCGAGGCTGAAAGAGTTTTCGAGACTTTATTATGGCTCCAGAGACCGACTATTCTGTGGCCATATGGATGATTTCCTCTACTGCATGCATTACGATTTTAGAACCTCTGAAGTTCCTTCTAACCTTGACAAGTTTTTGAACCGCGTATAAGAAAGACCTGACATACATAACATTGATCATCACCCAATGATCAATCAATTGTAATATTTTGTCTTATTCAACATTAACTAGGAACATCGTAAGACATAGAGTTGATCACAGAAAATTATAAATAGTCATTTGAAAACTTGTAAGAACTTTGATATAATAATTAACTGAACTGTTAAAATGAAAATGAACCTTCATGAAGCAAACGTATTCACCTGGTCTCTTTTACATCTTCAATCTTTCATTTATTCAAACGCTTATTTCTCCCTACTCTTACCAGTGTTTTTATTAGGAAAGTATTTTGTTTATAATAATATTCACATTGCACTGTAGTTACGACCCTGGCATGAAAACTCAATCATTCAATTCCTTGTTAAATTCACATCTGTATCATATGAAGAAGTAATAATTCAACAATTCCTATTATGACTTTATATCCGGCTAGTTATCATGTGATTTATTCACCAATCAAAATACGACTTATACAATCTTCGCACTGTGCCAAAACCAATGACGTTCGACTGGTATAGGCAGTCTAGCGTCCTTATTAGTCCTAGATCCGCCTAGCACATCGACTTGAGTCCAGAACACCAATACCAGCTTCCACTATGCAAATCGAATCGAATCATTTGTTTCACACATACTGGGGTTTATATATCAATCAAACAGACTGCGACGGAGCATAAAATAGGAAATAACATTCATACACAGTAATGCTAAAATGTGACTATGAATGTAGGAGACAGTAGTTAATAAACTGAACATAGATTAAGAACCGTAAATCGTACAATAATAATATATAGGTTAAAATAAACCTGTTAACAAGGGGAATATAGATATACACAGTCTAGTTACTGAATATTTATACCATAAGAATAATATAAATAATATTAGTGCATTATTAGGTCTCAGAAGTTACTGGTGACTTAATCTTCTCTCGGATATAACATAGGGGAGTGGCAACATCTTGACTCCAAACTAATTATTCACAAGGGCTCCAATATCCTAAGGAAACAAATGGCATATGAATCAATTGTTGGTAACCAGCTAACATGAGACTGCATTTCCTAAAGTTACTCCACCATCTTGTGGATTAGATCTTTAGGTTAAAGGCTCTGGTTATGACCCCCTAAGAAACCCACCTGCTTCAGTTAGGGAACTCGAACATTAGATTTATATCCAATTACTGAATAGTTATATCATAAGAATGTATAGATTAGTCAGTTAATTTGTCTCAGACGGTACTCGTGATTTATTCTTCGCTCGGATATAACAAATCTAACTCACTTTTTTCTCAAAAAGGTTTGATTGTTCTCTTTCAACTTTAAAACATCACTAAATAATTTATCAATACATGGTTAACTTATTCTATAACCTGAAGTTAACGTGAATTAAAATCGTAAATCATGGATATGAACAATTGACGAATCTCACAAAAAGACGAAACATGCGTTAAATTAGATGTCACTTTGTTTATCAATTCATTTTCTTTTGTTTTAATAAAATTCTCCATCTCTCTCTCTCTCTCTCACTCTCTTTCTTTCTTTCTTTAGATAATCTAATACAAATGATAAAAGATCATTCTTCATTAGATCACACTTCATTATTAGATCCATCTAAAATTTATATTTTAAAATTCCCGCCAGAATTAAATCGTACACTTTATCCAATTCAATTAATGAATTTAAACAAATTCTATCATCATTTTAATGAGATTGAATGTAAACGTATTGAACAAGTTCAATCTATTATGAATTCTTATTCAATGAATCCATGGTTTATTCTAGAATATTCTTTAAAACAAATTCAATGTTTATCTTATAAACATTTAAATGACATTTTAAAATTCAAATATCAATTATTTAATGATTATTTAAAAAATTTAAAATTTAAATATTTAAATTTTAAAAAAAAACAAAATCAATATAAACAAAATTATATTGATTTATTGAAAACAATTCAAGTAAGTATGATTCATCATTGTGATTAATATAATATAACAACTAATTGATGAATGAATCAATCAAAGGTGTTTCAAAGAGATTTCAAGGTTATGGCGCTAATTTCAGTGCTTAATACGTTATTGATCTGATCGATAATTCATTGTTCTCTAATTAGTGATATCATTCATCATTGTCATTAATGAGTTACTATTTCATAACAGATCCAGTTGAACTCCACTGGTCATTGCTTCTTACTAGAACTCTAGGATAAACTTCATGAAGTCAGTCACCAATGGGAATATGTTTATTAGTATCAGAAAAGGTTTTGTGTAGATTAACACTATTGAATGATGAAGATCTCTGTGGTGTAGAGGTTAAGCGTTTGCGTGCGAGACTGAAGGCCCTAGGTTTGAATTCCGTGAGCGGGAGTGCGGATGCGCACTACTGAGCGCCACAATAGGATGAAATGGCCTTCCAATGCTTCCAGGCTTTTAATGGTGGTCTAACATCAATCGGTTCATGAACTCAATCAATGAATTAATAATCTCCACTACCCTTATACGGATAATTAAGCTCATATAACATATTTTAGCTTTTGGATGAACAGGCTAATTAGACCTTTTGACTTATTCCCTTAACAACCTTGACTGATTGTATATGAGTGTATGTGTGGGAATTGCTTATCTTATTCATCACATGGCTGTAGCTTATTTTTGTGTAACTATAACTATTGATTAAGGCTAGGTTAAATGGAGTTGGATTACACACCTTCTCCACTGTGTGTCATTTCACTTCATTCTCTTCTATTTGTATCGTTTCTCTGAATGTCTGTCCAGATTAACCATTGTATGAAATATAAATATTCGAAATCCTTTCTCGTTTCGGACTTATTTTGATTCCCTTATGTCGCTAACGTGAATTAAATTGTTAATTATGTACGAGGAAAGCCAGGATATATATTTCCATAACATTTTTTAGTGGCTCGAGATATGATTCCAGTTGGAACGTATGATTGATTGCTGTTGAAACATACATGTTGCCAATTGTCGTGTTTAATTATTAACTTCATCTACGTTAGTGATTAACGGAATTATATAAGTCAAATACGTGAATGGATTTTGAATATATATATATATTTTGTACACTCACTGATCTGGGCAGACATTCATAGCGACGAAGCGAAATGATGAGGTGTGGAGAATGTACAAAAGTCAACTCTATTTAACCAACCGTTAATCAATATTCATAGTCACACAAAAATAAGCTACAGACATATGATGAGTAGGATAAGCAGTGTACACACACATATATATACACTTATATCGAAACAGTCAAGGTTGATAAGTAAATAATTAACAAGTTGAAAACGTGACTCAAGAAGAACCGTCAAATTGACCTGTCCAGAGGCTAAAATAAGCTATGTGGGTTGGAAATAGGGCCAGCCACTACACACTCATGCGATTCAACAGGAGTCAGAACCTTGACCACTAAAGTTAGTTGCTAAGTCATGAGAATTGACTAGATTTGGAAATGTGTATTATTGACAATGGATTTCAATGGTTAAAAGATATCTTATCATGTGGACTAAATGTTATAAGCTTGACTGTGATGAGTTGAATGATACTGTCCGAGAATAGAATAGTTATTCAGTGTTATATGATTTTTGACAGCTCGCTGGGTAGTATTAACTTGTAACAAATAAAATATCTTTTAAAGTTCGACTGTTTTGTGTGTGTGTGTGTGTGACAGTCAGATAACTAAACGAACGATCAGATATATACAAAGGTTAGGTACGTTTGGAAAGATACTAGTTGACAGTCTTAGTGTCAACATTAACACTCAGTGTAAGTACACCTAATCTAGGAGTTCTGCATAGGACAAAATCCCATTTCTAGGTTCCGTTGCCATCTATTATATAACATTATTTCAATTTTGCAACTAAATAGAACTATATAAGAAGTTCTCTGAAGGTGTACATACTTTAAAAGAGATTGATCATTTTGATCCTTAACATTTTTAGCTGTTTTTTAAGCAATCCTACAGTTAACTGCATCTCTGTGATAATGTGCTGTGGCAACTCGAACTGATGTACCTACGTACGAAGTTGTACGTTGTTACTGACTGACGATTTTTATTTATTTATCCGAACACTTAAATACTGGTACAAAGGGGCACTGAATACATGTGCACCACACAAATCACTTGATTTTAGTATGGGCTGTGATACTATCCAAGTGCTTAGACCAAAGCAGGTGGTTATCTTAGTGGGCCACATCCCAAGCCTTTGACCTATAGGTGTCATCCATAAGGCAGTGGACAAACGTCGCGAGATGCAGTCCCATGGTAGCCGGTGATCAACAATAGGTTCATGTGCCATTTGTTTCCTTAGGATCCTGGAGCCCATATACAAAATTGGTTCGCAGTCAAGGTTTTCCAACTGCCCTAGGTGGACTCTCCTTGTCCATCAACCCAGTTGAAGCGCCGGACATTCGCTTTTCGTTCTCTCAATTTCGTAAACAACAGTGAGTAGGACTTCTCTGACAGTGGCTGTGTACGCGTGACTATGTGAGAGCATTTCGAGATGGAGAGTGGACTATATTCACCCTCGGCCATGCCAGGGCATTCATGGGCAATATTACAGTTAAACACAAAAATTACCGGACAATTATAAAAAGACTACGATCATTTATCCATACAGTTTAACCTTAATATACTACTGAATTCAATGGTGAGACTATAATTTATGGACAACCTCTAAGAAACGCTAAAATGACCTTGACAATATTCACCTATTTACTAAGGTTAAATGACAGTTATAATATAGTCTGAGGATTGAGGATTAGCACTTACAGTCGAATGTTAGACTTAGGAACTAGATTTAGTATTTTCATCATGAATTGACACCAGCTATAATATCAAAATGGTATTTGTTATGTGTTTATGCCGGGCTAGTTATCACGTGATCTATTCGACAATCAAAATATGACTTATTCGCCCATGTACTGTACTAAACTAACGACATCCAACCGGTCTGATCAGCCTATCGTCCTAATGGTTCGTTGTTCGTTTAACCCGTTCAGCTGAGTCCAGAATGCCAACTACAGCCTCCACTACGCGAATCATTCATTTCAGACATACTGAGTTTATATATTAAACAAACATACTGCAACACACCATAAAATAGGAAATAACATACACAATAAGATCAAAAATGTGGCTATGAACGTGGAAGGCAATGGTTAATAAACTGAACATAGCTTAAGAACAATAAAGCATATACTAATAATCTATAGGTTGAAATGAAGCTTATAACAGGTAGAATATAGATATGCACAGTCTAGTTACTGAATATCTATACCATAAGAATATATAAATAATATTAGTCCATTAATAGATCCCAGACGCTACTCGTAATGTAATGTTCACTTGGATATAATAGTATTTAACCAAATCAATGAATGAATTTCATGTCAAAATCCAACATTTTCTATTCTTAACTCCAAATGGGTCGTCTATAAATTATAATCTCATCAGTTTTTGTTTTGTTCAATATTCTGGATGAAGTTTTCTTCAGTAAACTAAATCATTTGATTATGAAGATTTCGTCGCTTTTCCGGACGTTATCATCAGTAGTGAAATGTTCACATTTCTCCACATATAACTCATAGCTTATTCGTGTAGATCTTCATGTTGATTAGTTTCTAGTTGATCTTCAACTCATCATTATTTACTTCTTTTAATATTTTGATTATATCTCTTATTGACGAGACTCTATGGACGACCTTTGAACGAATCTTGAATGCACTTCAGAAATATATATATATATATTACAAAAAAACCCAAAGAATTAAAGTGGTTCGAAGACTAATCATGATTTGAAAAAGGTTCAGAGGTACTGAAATAATAGTACATACGATAGAGGGACTCATCCATATGGCTCTATAATAGTCGACCTCTCGAGCCATGATAGGGTCGTAAGAACTTTTTTGGCTTCGACCACATAACTTCAATATTGTCAGTGTGTACTCCAGTTGTAGGGTCTACAAAATAACGCTTGTAAATAACAACATGATGCACACATCCAAGTTTGTGCAGGTATCTGTAGGCATCAGGTACTGAAACTAGCACCATCACCATGAAATCCTTCAAACGCTTCTGATTTACTCGTCCATAAATAAGAGTCTCATTCTCTCATTTGGTTTGGATATTTATTGTTCAATAATATGTACTTAAGATTGTGTTATTTTCATTCTGTTCTTCTCAATTTTTTTCTTTTCTTTTTTCAATCAATAGTTCGCCACTGATGAAGCACATTATAAATACTACGAAATGTGTATGAATTATAGAAATAATATAATAAAACAATATAAAAATGATAAAGAAGCATCATGCAATCAAACAATGATTGAACATGATAATACAGAACCAATTCTAAATCGAATTGAAAATGTAAAAAAAAGCACAAGAATTAAATCATCAAGAAGTTCAAAATCTAGTTCAAAAAGTCGATCGAATTCGAATCAACGAAGAAATTGAAAGAAAGAAAATTAATTCTTTGTTTTACTCTCTTGTTTTTTCTACCTCTCCCCACCTCCCGTCGTCGTCGTTAATAAATTGTTATATCACTGATTGAAATCATTAGTCAATTGGAGCTAGATCACCATGGAAAACCTGGAAACACTGGACGGCCGTTACGTCCTAGTATGAGACACCTCAGTAGCAGTGCGCATCCACGATCCCTCACCCCGTGAGGTTCGAACCCATGACCTGTCAGTCTCATGCCAGGCGCTTAGCCAACTAAACCATGATGGTCTAGCTTCAATTGACTCATGATTTCAATCAGTGAAATTTCTAAAAATCTCCACAAAACCCCTTCTGATATATTGTTATATGTTTAGAAAATAATATATATATATAATTCGTTAGAGTCTATAACAGAGTAAGACCTAATAGTTTGACTGGTTAGTATCGATAAGATATCTCTCCTCACAAGATTTGAACCCATGACATATCAGTCTCTGGATTGCGGATACGCAGTGTTAAGGAGTTCCATAATAGAACAAAATGGTTATCCAATGCTTTTATGTTTTCCATGGAGGTTTAGCTTCAATTTACTCATGAATTGAACTATTGAAATTACCATAATATCCACAAAGATCCCTTCTTATATAAATATTTTTTATTGACATGATCTAATTCTATCACTTAGTGTGAATGTCATAGTTTTACATAAGGTCTGTCGTGTAATGAATACTACATTTGTAACACTCAGTGATGTCGGATAGAAAATTATAAGAATATAATTGCTGTGAAAAAGTCAGATAATAAGTTTTGGAAAGGATGAAACTTAGATCTAGGACTATTAGTTGATTATCTTCAAACATCTTAAATCGGACAAACAAAACTTCAACATCAGATCATTTATATAAGTGGATGCACTGTTGACTAGTGAACGTGATACTAGTTACTATGAATTAATAGATTATTATGAATCTACCTCTCGAAAGCAACGTGTTTCCAGTCCAGTTCATATATATTGTAAGGGGCGGTGTCCGAAATCTGATACTGATAAACGATTTGCTACGCGCTACAACCTCAACTGACTACTTGAGTGTGAAAGTATGTTGAACTAGCGAATAAAATGCATAAGTCAGTCAGTCAGCCACCTGCAAAATAGGATCAGGCACATATATGTATCGGCTGAAGTCGCCATACCTCATTAGCACAACAAGACCAACACAGGATTCATAGAAGTAGTTAACTCAATCGTAGTAATATATAAGAGAAAGATTTTATGTAAGGATATAGTACAGAAAGAAAGAATTAGTTGGTACAAAGAAAGATATGTGGCGATTTCAATCTCACAGTTTAAGGGTAGACAGAGTGTGTATACACCCATACCATTGTGATCTGTCGATTCTGAGTCATGACACCCACAATCTCTAACCATTGGTTATGATAGTGACACGGACACCAACCAAGTAGTCTTTATCTACCAACATGGTTCACATCAGAATTTAGTGATTTCAAGGAGTGAGGCCAAGTTTTCGTTTGGCCACCCCTAACTTCCTTCCAACCATCCCAAACACTTGTCAACATTGCACGTTGTGGTAATCAGTGTTCATGCATACGTAACACGTGACCCAACCATCTCAGTCGATAAAGATTCATAACCTCATCAACTGATTCACCATCATCCCCCAATACCCTGCGTCTAACCTCACTATTACTTACCCGATGATCGCAGCAGATGAGAGCAATATTTCTAAGGCATCTGTGGTCGGATACTAGTAGCTTTCGAGTATCTTCTATACTTAATGGCCACATTTCGCAGCCATAATGTAGAACAGAACGAACTGCTGCACAGCATATTTGTCCCTTAATTGATAGACAAATATCTCTCCTTCGCCAGAGGTGACATAAGTTGGCAAAAGCCAAACGAGCTATCTGAATCCCTGCTGAGATTTAACATGTGTTTGATTCGGTTGAACGTTTGTTCGACAGTCTCAGTTCAGGTAAACTTGGTGTTGCACAACAACTTATATAGTGGTGCTGCTATTTCTTTGAAATTCTTGACAAACCGACTGCAGAACGTCGCTCTTCCCAGGAACTGTCTCAACTTCCTTTTCGAAATAGGTACTGCAATATTTTTTATGGTAAGAATTTTCTCCGGCGATGGTTTTATTTCTCCATTTCCCACTTTATGTCCCAACAGCGTGACGCTATTTCTCGCTATCTGCGACTTGTCCTTATTAATTCGAAGTCCAAATTCGTCAATTCGCTTTAAGACCGCTTCCAGGTGCTTGACATGATCTGTTTCTGTCTGACTGTACACAACTACGTCGTCGCCATATACCTCGACATTATCTAGATTCTTGAGCAGTAGTGTCATTAATCTTCTGAACGTGGACGGTGCACCAGCCAACCCGAACGGCATTTGTATAAACTGATACTGTTTATCACGTACAGCAAACGCTGCCTTGATCCGATCGCTCTGTTTTATAAGCAGTTGCCAATAAGATGTCTCTCTTCACCTTCAGACGAGTTTGATCCTGTTCGAATACAAAAATGGAAGATTGAAAAGTAAAGAATATAAACAGAGTAAATGCGTGCAACTAAGAAAAATCGGGTTCATCGGAATAGGATAATTATGATTTATTTCATATCTGAGAGACCTACAGTAAGGATAGAAAGCAACATTGTGACAAAATGTCAATAAAAAGGATGATACTTCAAGAAAATGTATCACTTTTCTTCAATATTCAAGACTCCCATTGAAGAAAAGTAGAACAACGCATATAAGCGAACAATATTGTTCTCAATCAGATCGTCATCAGTCAAGTCATCTAGATCTTCTCTTCCATAAACCTCATACTCCTCTTCATTGCTTTAGATGTCTATCTTGATTAGTAGTACATGTCTTGACAAAAACAACAGTTATATCAGACAATAATTCGGTTGAAACTAAAAACAAGTGATTAGTAAGTGAATTCGTTTCCAGACTCCATTTTGAACACACCATTAGATTCACATGAGATCAAGTTCAAAACCCTCGAGTATAGCCATGAGCATGATACTGTTGAGTTGTTGGTCCAGGTGTTAGCGAATTCTCCAACCTAATCACACATCATCGACGAATAATTGTGCCAATTCCTGAGTTTTGGAGTTTCTTCTTGGTCAAATGTATTCAGTCAAAACGTCTAATCAATTTGTAAATCAACATTTTAACCATCCAATTTATTCTTATTATGCTGTTCTTTTAATTGATTGATCATTAGCTAACACTATGTGAATGAAAATCAGGTCATACTACTCCTCATATCTAAATGAGTGAAACTATGTATCGTTGTGAAATAATCAATTGGCCAGGAATTTCTCATTTGTGCACTTTTAAATTTCTCACTATTAATCTGGTGAAATGTCAAAAGACTGCTTGCGATATATTCTGTACAACGTATAGATTGAAGTTATGAATAAAAGTACAACGACAGTTGAATTAATCTCCTTTGACTTAGGCACGCGTGAAATATCTCATCACATGGAAGGAAATCAACGACAAGAAGTGAGATATGCTATGGCGTTTGACCAATAATTCATGTTCGTGCAGGCAAAGATGAAGAGGGCATCCACTGTGTTCGATGTAGTGATTTCCACAATTGACATAATCTATTTTGTAGATGATGTTCAATTATTATTCTTTTGTCATTTCATCTTTTGATTTGCATAGTATTTGTTGTAGTGATATTGTTGTTTCGTGTGCTACGCCTATTCCAAAAGGCTTCAACAATCTCGTTGTAGTTCCAATATGTGGTCCATCTATAACGGAAGACTAAGGTTCAAACAATTCTCTATCTACAAACAGTTTATTTTATCCACATAATGATTATGTAAACTGTTGTTGTATTGGATTATATACTGAAGGTAATATGACATTGAAAACTTCTAGGAACTATGGTTATCACTACTACTACTACTACTACTACTACTACTACTACTACTACTACTACTACTACTACTACTACTACTACTACTACTACTAGAATTACTACAACTACTACTACTACTACTACTACTACTACTACAACTACTACTACTACTACTACTACTACTACTACTACTACTACCTTACTATGGCCGTAACCGATCTCTTGTAAATATTCAGTTGTGCTGTGACCTCTCTCCGATTCGATTGTACGATTGAAAGTCATGGGTTTGAGTCACGAATGCGCGATCATGGATGCACAGTGCTGGTGAGTCTCATATTAGGACGGAATGGCTACCCAGTGCTTCCAGATTTTTATGGTAGTCTGACAATGACCGATTCATGATACCAATCAAAACTCAGGCTAGTGGCTAATTTTTTTTTGCATGCCTTTTAAACTACTTACAAGTAAGATAAATGTTTGCAAAGATCATTGTCCTATAAAAGTAGTGGTCAATTTTCATTATTTGGAATGTCAGTATGACCACTGTCGGACATCAATCATCTTCTCCTCATGAATTGTCGTCAATTTATGTTGTGATCGGTCTGGAATTGATTGAATGTGAATTATATTGAATGATGTCTTTGTATCGCTACCTGTATTTAGAATGAAGGTAACAAAAGTCACGTAACTACTGCAGAACGAACCGTAACTTCGGTAGAAGTTGACTGATTGCATGAATCTCTTTCAAAATATGTGCTATCAGTGAAGTCAATTAATTTGAAAAACAGTTTCGTTCAGAGCTTATATGAAAACAAACATAGAGTGCTGGACATAAATATCGTTCCAGTTTATGATGAAATCTCTTCTGTTCAATCGTAATAAACCTTAACAGTGCTCATCAGCAAATCTATCGAAGACAAAACCAAGATCTGCGGATATTTTGTAAGATGCATCAGTTGGTTTACTACTCTAACTTCAGTCAACTTATCATATTGTTACTACTCCACTTATAAATACCGTTCTGTATCTCTGGTCCTGCTCGTTTGATGAATTTAGATAAACTACTTTTGTTGACCAACAGTTATCTAGTGAAAATTTGTGTTTCATAACTAACTACATTCTATCCGTTTCTGGTAGGTGAGATTTCGTTTGATAATATGATGGAATTAACAACTGTCCAATTACTCGTGATCCCATATAGCTTATACTTAACAGATTTCAAATACAACTGAGCATTAGAATATACGTTGCTTCAGTAGGAGCATCTCTTCAACATTTTCGATATCTCTCTTTAACTACTTTCATTATCGAATCTCCTGTATTAACGCTTGCGTATAATTGTTTGTCATCGATGACTCTTATCTCTAAACGTACATGTTTCCCGTGCCTTGTCGAGCCATTAGTTTGCTTTCCTTCTGACGATTTTTACTTCCGAATTCCCTCATACGTGATTTCATTCACACTCCGTTAACATCTGCTGCTGCTATTGCTAATGCTGTTGTAATATTAACTGCAACTGTTCTTAAGAAATCTCCATTTTTTTACTGCTAATAATAATATTAACTTCAAAATAACCGGCAATTGTTGTGGCTTATGCATATTAGTCAATTAATATGTCTCAGTAGTTACTCGTCATTTAATCTTCGCTCGGATATAACACACTCCTTCAACAACAATATACCGTCAAATCAGACGCAAACCTACATAGTTCATCTTTTAAGTAAATCTGATACCAGCTTCGACAATAACAGATCTAGCACAATGATATAACATTGTAGGAAACAAAATAATTAAATACAAGTTTTACTTAAAACAGCAGGTCAGTTAGGATATACTTTGAACTTGTTTGATTGCTGACTAAACATGTCTTTTCCTCTCAATACATTTGACTCATGCAAACATTTACGTATCAATATTCCACATTTTAGCAACAGCATGACTTATCAACCAACACAGTTCAAGGGGGGACCTGACATCATATCTGATTTTCCAACTAGTCTTCAATCTGGCTGACTCCATGTATTAGTAAACTCTAGTTTGATGTGAAGTTGTTGTCGAGTTTCTTTGCTTGAACACACACACACACACTGATATATTTGCCTACAATTAGTGAACACTAACAATCTTTAAAATCTGGTAACATGTAAATAAGCATGTGTGAGTGTGTGTGTGCATGTGTCAATGTTGTCATTATCGTCATCATCTTTGTTGTTCTGTTCTATTCACCAATTTCTCCTTTTATTTGATCTTCTCACTGTTTTTCCCACCTACCGGAATTTTTATATTGTTTGTTTGAAATGGTTGTTGTTTCAAAAACAATCCTCAAATAAGTAGTATCTTTTGTTCCGATCAAATTTATTTTTTCCTTTGATGGATTGTTGTCGTCTCAAATGTGAAGTGAAGCTTTAGTGTTGAGCTTATTAGTATTGTTGTAAATTTGCAAGTCAGAGGAGAGGTGAGGAAGATATTTCGCTTTTGAGAGCCTCTGTGAGGATTCTTTTATAAACTACTCCATTCGATAAATAGTTTAAATCTATTTTGCACAACTAAAGGGTATGACAATATAAGGCAGGCATGAATAAAATGACCAATGTTATATGTGAAAAGTGCTAATCATTCTCATCTGTTTCTATAGAACTACTTGAAGGTGGTGTGATTTGTAAATAAGTCAAGTCAAATAATGAAGTTCAGAATGAGTTGTAGTAAGGTTTTTATCAATATAATAATAATAATAATAATAATAATAGTAGTAGTGATATAACCGTCGTTGTTGTGAATTCAGTATGTAATAAATGCGGTAGAGTCAAGGTAGTTACGATGAAGAGGAATCAATGTGAATTGGGAAAGATGAATGGGAAGTTTAGGAAAGATATAAACATAAGAAGAATTTGGATAAGAGATTCTGAATACGAGTTACTACCGAGCTAATTAAGCTCTCTGTGTGAGTGAGATTTGTTACATCAATGTTATGTTCGTTCATTCTTCAGAGTTCAGACAATTCTCGAAATAGTTAATGGTCTGGTTCCAGATGGAAAGAGTTTTAGATTCTAATCTAACAACCACCGTAAGTTCCCTAAAGTGAAGAGATACATCTTTTTGATCATTGTCAACTAACAGGATGCATACGTTTATAGGCTCCTCTCGATTGATTTCAATTACTGAAAATTGAACCTTAAAATATGCAACGACAATACTGATGGTGAGGCTACAATAAAAGCATTAAACAAACATGACTCAGGTAATCAGTCGGTTCACACATGGGATTAATGAACTCATGGTATACATTTATTTGTAAACAAAATCGAAATTTCCCTTGATTATCAAGAATTATTGAACCTCAAATAACCTTGCATGAGAATGTTATATTATAAGTATATCTATAGATATTTACTGATGGAATAGTTTGACCGGAAAATGCATGGAAGTGTCACTGTTCGGAGTTGCAATGTGAACTATTACAGTGATAACAAAGCGATTGTACTGAGCAACACAGATGAACAATGAATGGTGATGTAAGATGACTGTGGTGGAGTTGAATTGTCTGGGCTCCAATAGAGAAGTCAAGTACTCGGCACATAGAACATAGAAGAGACCCTTTTTATAGAGCAAATAATCAATACGTCAGTTGAAAAGATAAAACATCAACCTTCTGAGCAACAGATCTTCTCTCTATAATGTCAATATCTGATCACAGTTTGCATTGTTGAATATGTAGTGACCTACTTCCATCAAGTGAACGCGATGGGTTTAATGGAGACAATCATTATTAAAACCAATTGTACCAGTGATTGTTTAACTGTGCGCGTTTGTTTAACTGTGCTAAAGACAGCCAAATTACTGCTCCATTATCCTTCGATTGATTGTGACCTTGTACGGGTTGGGTCACGCTCAGTAACCACGCTTGTACTCCTTTGGAACGATCTCGGTATCCATTCGATACCACGAGATCACCAACAAATACATCTCGACTACAGCCATCAACTGCTTTCTGATATTTGGCTTACGGGTGATTTTATCGGTTAACTGGCACGTAGTCTTCTTGTAGTGGTGTTCATAGTCAACCGCGACTCGACACCACACTACAAATATAATCTTATCAAGTGAATTGTAATGTGATCGTCAGAAATCAATTAACTGGAAGGACAGCTTTATGATGATCAACATAATGAAAGTGACATTTATATTTCAAGTACATGGTGAAGATGATGATGATGATCCCTTTCATCATGTTCACCTTCACTTTTTACGAATAAATATTTACTACTTTGTGGTAGATCGAATCTTTTCTTTTGATAGCACCTTCATCACATATACCGCTATAGATCTTCCAAGAAATCTTCCAGATCAATTGGTGAATATCTACAATACTGAGGTGTGAAGGCAGTTAGGACCAGATTATTTTCAATTCAGAACTGTTTACGAAAGGAAACTTACAGAATCTAAATCACATGAGCTGCATAACACCAATGTCTTCTGAATGATACACGAATCGAACTACTATTGAACATTTGCTTGAATAAATCAATCGATTAAATTAGTGATTACCAAAATATCACAGTATTCAATCTGTGTGGATTTCATTTACTCAAAACGAAAATCAAAATGTGTACTTCTGTGTTGATGAAACACAAAGATAACCATGTGTAATACATCATCAAGGAGATTGATGTTTGAAGACACGAATTGTGATTGAATTGTGATTCATTGGTTTATTTTCATAGATTACATGTTAAGACTGAAAAACTGAGTGAACAAAGGCATGTAAAGAAGAGCTGTGATTGAGTCCCGAATTGTAGCAACATATAGATTGTTGTATATTTATCAGAATTTCCCTAGTTAGCATAAGTCAGGAATGGGAAACACGAGTAACGTGGAATGAAAAATCATACAGCTGTGGTGTATACTACTTTTGTCTGTCGACATAACAAATTTGTAACACTGATCGGAAGTGGAAAACCCTACAGCAGAAGGTTAAGAAGATCGAGTTGAAGAGAATATGAGGAAAAAAAGAGGATGTGGACTGAAAGAATCATGCAGAATGTGATGGATAAATGATGGGAATTTACAAATGAAGTATTCAATGCAATGGTTGTGATATTTTATCGAGGCTGTCAAATTCCCTGGTGGTATGGCCGAGAGTATACGTATGAATGTGTGGAAATAGGTAAATATTTTAGCATTCCTAAGTTACTGTCTAACTCCGCCTGTAG